TGTGGATGATTATCTAAAATGCAGAATGTGATCTGAGACTTAATATTAGTAATTAAGATTAAACTAAGAGAGCCAGTCACTGGGGGCTGGCAAAATAATTTGGTGGGTAAAGTACTTTTTACTGCTGTGCAAACATGGGAACCTGAGTCAGGATCTCTAGAGCCACAACCGCTGGCATGGTAGTGTGTCCTGAAACCCTAGACATGAAGCAGCAGTGACGGGTGGCCTTTAGAGCTTGCCAGCTAGTCTAGACAATCAGCAGGCTCCAGGTTCAGGGAAAGACCCTGTCTCAAAACATAAAGTGGAGGCTGGAGAGATGGACTGCTGTTAAGAGCAGTGGCTGCTCTTCAGAGGACCTGGTTTGATTTCCAGCTTCCACATGGTGGCCCACAATCATTAACTCCAGTTCCAAGGGACCCAAGGCCCTCTTCTGGCCTCTATGGGTACTGAACACATAACAAAACACCCATATACATAAAAATAAATAAAAAAATAAAATTTTAAAAATAAATAAAATGAAGAAGCTATTAATAAAGACTCTCCAGTGTTAACCCCTGGCCTTCTTATGCATATGCTCATATATGCACACACACACACACACACACACACACACACATACATACACACATACACACACACACATATGCACACACACACGTACACACGTACACACACATACACACACATACACACATACACACACATATACATATACATACACACACATACACACACATATACACACACATACACACACATATACACACACATACATACACATAAACACACACATACACACACGTACACACACATACACACATATGCACATACACACACACACACACACACACACACACACTTACAATGACTTATTGACTTACAATGGCCAGTTATCAAGCAAAATTAGCATTGTTCGGCAAATCACAATCAAGCTAACATAGCTTGTGATTTTGCTAGTTTACAAGTCCTGACATGTGGAAAGACACAAACATGTCTGTGTTTCTGACATTACATGCACTTACTCTTCCATCTGAAAGTAGGCACCATTCTGCTGAATCACAAAGCAGGTTCCCCAGGGATCACAGAACCAGCACTTTGCCCGAGAGGCTCCTGGAGATCACAGTGATTTGAGAACCAGTAGGGTGGCTTGCAAGGAGGATCCCAGACTTGGGATTTTACCCCTGAATCAGCCAACACTCATCCATAATGAACTTATTTATGCTGATCTTCTGGAAAGGCTTGCCTTGGAGCCAGAATTCCATTGCTTTACTCTGCTCTGGTTCAATTCCATTTGCCCTCTGCTATAAAGAAGGCTCTTAGTTCCAGAGAATTGCTGAAGATGATTTGGTAAGAAAGTATCAGTATTTGCTTCCAATTACTGTCCTAGGAAGCCTGTACATGTCTAAGTCACACTGCCTGCCAAGGGCTCAGCTCTAACGGGTAGAGTTTAGTGAATGGTCGGCAGGATGGCAGAAGAGAAAAATTCACATCACCCCACAACTGAGGCTATCGTTGCTCCTGTCCATTCTTATTCCACCATCTGCAACAAGGAACAAAACACAGGGCACCTTCAGAAAATCCTCCAGCATTTCCGTGGCTTCGCTCCCACAAGCCAAGACAAGGTAAGAAAGCAGTGATGGAGAATGAAAGCCGGTTTTTAAAACATTTGTGCCTGCATTAGGGTATGCACACCGTGTATATGCCTGCATGAGTTTATGCACACCATGTGTGTACAGTTGCCTGAGTAGTCCAGAGATGACATCAGATTCCCCGGAAGTGGAGTTATAGGTGCTCACGTGCCACTTGGTGTGGGTGCTTGGAACTGAACCTGGGTTCTCTGGAAGAGCAGAAATCACTCTGAGCACTAGGGGTGACAGGAAGGTGAGACTGCAAGGAGCAGAAGCCACTCTTGGGTGAAGAATAAGAATGGCTCCAGCAGGGAAATGAGAGCCTGTGGTGGTTTGAAAGAAAATGCCCCCCAGAGGGAGTGGCACTATCAGGAGGTGTGGCTTTGTTGGAGTGGGTGTGGCCTTGTTAAAGGAAGTGCGTCACTGTAGGGTGGCTTTGAGGTCTCCTATGCTCAAGCTATTCCCAGTGTGGCACACAGTTGCTTTTCTGCTCCTGTGGGTCAGGTTGTAGAACTCTCAGCTCCTTTTCCAGCACCATGTCTGCCAGCATGCTGCAATGAAGATATTGGACTAAACCTCTGATACTGTAAGCCAGCCCCAATTAAATGTTTTATAAGAGTTGCCATAGTCATAGTGTCTCTTCACAGCAATAGAAACCCTAACTAAGACAGAGCCTGCCCTTTGTCTGGTAAGCAGTGAAGAGCTTCAGCCTTGGTCAGCAAATGGTCTGCAAGAAGAATTCCGGAAGTTCTAGGGTGGGAAGGAACAAACATTGTCAATTTCCTGCACTGGTTTACCTGATGCGCAAATCCAGGAAGGGGTCGGCGGGGCGGAGAGAGGGCCCATCTCTCTCTGAAAGGTCATAGCAGTAAAGGGGCTGGCAATAAAGCTCACCACCACCCCAGCCATGCCACTCACACCCACATCTTTGGATTACTCATGGGCACCTCACATTAAGAGTTCTAAACTCCCCATCCCCAACCCTAAAATCCTCAACTTGCTGGGTTCCTTATGGATACAGAAACATCATCCACGCAGCTCCTATAACTAGAAACATAGTTTACTCCCTACTACAAATCCAGCCAGCTCTACAGATAGTTTTGCTTACTTGAGTTTGTGAATCTACCCCTTCTCTACTTAATTTTTACCTGAGATCAGGCCCTGATCATTTCTCACTCCAGTCTTCATTTCCACCACGATAATGCCTCCTGCAGGTCTAAAGAGGTAGCCTCTCTAAATGTGATCATTCTGCCTTGGGTTAAGTCCCTGGCACACTTGGTCCTGGGGCGCTGAACTCTGTCTCTTCTCTTATTGTAGTGGTGATAATGTGGGACTCCAAGTAGTTTGGGAGGTGATTTCAGGAAGCATGATGAGGAGCTTGTTTAAGGTTGTTTATGTATACGAGCATTCTGTCCTCCTATAGGTCTACACAACAGAAGAGGCCATCAGATCCCATTATAGTCGATTCTGAGCCACTATGTGGTTGCTGGAAATTGAACTCAGGACCACTGGAAAAGCAGCCAATGTTTGTTTGTTTGTTTGTTTGTTTGTTTGTTTGTTTGTTTGTTTGTTTTTTAAAGAGGGTGCTTCCCTGAGATTGGGCCACATGGGCCCTGAGGTTTACCTTTGCTACAAGCAAACGTCAGAGGTTTTTGTACCTAAAATGGCCCTCACATGAAATTTGTGTTTTAGTCTTTTCACGTGGGTAGACACTGTCCAGAAGGACTTGTTCTCTCGAAATGGCTAAAGCATTCCCCCACCAAACCCACTGGTCAAGGGAGTCAGACTCCAGACACATCCCAAGTAGATTTCTGATTGTTCCAGTCTGACCATCTTTAGAGACCTTCTGCAGGGAGCATTAACATGCTTGGCCAAGGATGTAGCTCAGTGGTAAAGTGGTTGCCTAGCATGTGCAAGGTCTTGAACTGATCTTCAGCCCTTCAAAAAACACACGTGCAAGAGTACATGTGTGCACGTGCACAGGTACCGCCCCCACATTCCCACAAAAAAACGATCTTGTATCCTTCCCTACTGGTCTTATTACGGGAGGCTCCTCCTCTTCTCCCACTTCTTTCCCTTGTATCCCTGCTTCCTGGCAGTGCCGCATGCCCTCTCCCCTCTGGTTTTCCACCTTCAGATGTTGCTCTGCTGTTCTCCACTCATCTGAGAAGTGCGGGCACTGTTTACACAGCCCTAACACAGGTTCCCCTAAGTGATTTTTACTCTCATTTCACGCTGGAGGAACGGAGGCTCAAGGAGGTCCAATGGCCAATAGGGGCGGAGCCTGGAGAGTGGAGGCGGACCACTCTGCTCCCTCCCCCTTAGTCACCCTATGGTAACCTTTCCCACCCTCCAGCACTTGACCTTCTCTGCCCGGAGGGAGATCCGAGTCCTTCGAGTAGCTACAGTCAGATTTATTCCTACCTCTGATGCAGAGGAAAATAACAGGGCCAAAGTTGGTATTATTCAGAGTGTGGCCAAGGTCCTGGGCCTATAGCCACACCATCTGGCCCCACGCCAGTCACGCCCATTCAGCCCAAGCACAAGCATCCTTCAGGGCTGTCTCAATGCCACCATCCCACCATAGCGGGTGTTGAGATCCTGGGCTGGCCTGTCGCCCCAGAGAAAAGAGGAGGGGCATCAGACACATCCAGGCGCTCCAGCAGCGTTTAACCATCCAGCCCTGAACCTACAGATCCCAGGCTCTTGCTGCTCTCTGGCGGCAGGAACCCGGAGCCAGAGCCCCGGGGATCGCACCTTGTATGCTCCGCTAGGGCAAGGGCAAGCCGAGAGTGACCGCGAGTCTAAAGAGAGGAAGGGAGGCAGCGAGACGTAGCTAGAGCAAAGAGGATTGGGGTCCGGGAGAGCCGAGGAAAAGAGGACAAGGGGACAGCTAGGGCAGAGGGCGGTCGTGGGCGCCGGCGGGGACTCCCCCCCAGCCCGCAGCCGCTGGCCACGAAGAGCCCCTTCTCTGGCTTCAGCCCTCGCTCGCACCGGCCGCCCCCTCCTCCCTCCCGGCCGCCCCTCCTCCGTCCCGCCCCCGCGCAGAGTCCCAAGCGCTGCAGAGGCCGCCGCCTGCGCTGCCGCTCCCGGAGCCGCCGCTCGCCCTGGACACGCTTGGAGAAGGGCGCAGGGCGACCGCCCCGGCCCTTCCCTCCCTGCGACTCCGCGGCCACCGCTAGACCGGTTCCCTCGCGCCACTGTTCCCGCTGGGACTTTCACGACCCCGTGGCTTCCCCTCCGCTCCCCCTGCTCCACCGCTCCCCTGAGGCCCCCTCCGCGGCGGGAACTTGGGCAGGACCGACGGGACCCGCGCGCGGAGCTGGGCTCCGGCGCTGCGGCGATGCCCGCGGGCCCCCTCCTCGCCACTTGCTCGCCCTGTGCCGGGGCTCGGGCCCCGACGGCTGCGCCGTGAGATGACTTTCCGCGACCTCCTGAGCGTCACTTTCGAAGGACCCCGCTCCAATAGTAGCACTGGGGGCTCCAGCGCGGGCGGTGGAGCTGGCACGGCTGGACCCGAGGGCCCGGCGGTGGGCGGTGTGCCAGGGGCCACTGGCGGCGGCGCTGTGGTGGGAACCGGCAGCGGCGAGGACAATCAGACCTCCACGGGAGAACCGGGGGCTGCGCCCGGCGGTGAGGTGAATGGCTCAGCGGCCGTCGGGGGGCTGGTGGTGAGTGCACAGGGCGTAGGAGTGGGGGTCTTCCTAGCAGCCTTCATCCTCACCGCTGTGGCGGGCAACCTGCTCGTCATCCTCTCGGTGGCCTGCAACCGCCACCTGCAGACGGTCACCAATTATTTCATCGTGAACCTGGCGGTGGCTGACCTACTGCTGAGTGCAGCGGTGCTGCCCTTCTCAGCCACTATGGAGGTTCTCGGCTTCTGGGCCTTCGGCCGGACCTTCTGCGACATCTGGGCCGCGGTGGACGTGCTGTGCTGTACTGCCTCCATCCTTAGCCTCTGCACCATCTCTGTGGACCGGTACGTGGGCGTGCGCCACTCGCTCAAGTACCCAGCCATTATGACAGAGCGCAAGGCCGCTGCCATCCTGGCTCTGCTCTGGGCGGTGGCCCTGGTGGTGTCTGTGGGACCGCTGCTGGGCTGGAAGGAGCCCGTGCCCCCGGATGAGCGTTTCTGCGGCATCACCGAGGAAGTGGGCTATGCTGTCTTCTCTTCCGTGTGCTCCTTCTACCTGCCCATGGCAGTGATCGTGGTCATGTACTGCCGCGTGTATGTGGTCGCGCGCAGCACCACGCGCAGCCTCGAGGCAGGCATCAAGCGGGAGCCCGGCAAGGCCTCCTCCGAGGTGGTGCTGAGGATCCACTGTCGAGGCGCAGGCACTAGCGCCAAAGGAACCCATGGGACGCAGAGTAGTAAGGGCCACACCTTGCGCAGCTCGCTCTCGGTGAGGTTGCTCAAGTTTTCTCGGGAAAAGAAGGCTGCCAAGACGCTGGCCATCGTCGTGGGTGTCTTCGTCCTGTGCTGGTTTCCCTTCTTCTTCGTCTTGCCGCTGGGTGAGTGATCCCCTCGCATTAGACCCTTCCTTCCCTTCTGGCAAGTCCCTCCCTGGAAGGCTTAGATGACCCACAACCTGTCTGTGGACGTTTATGACTGTCCTGGTTGATTACTGTTGTATAGGGAGAGGTCTCTTGGTAGTTCTGAGTTTCTTTTTACAAGTTTCTCATTCTTTTTTCTTACCCTTTTTAGCCATTTCAAACCTTGGTCTTGCTTTAGCTCCTTGGAAATCTGGGCAAACATCTCCCTGTAATTTGTGGCCAGCAGTAGTGTATGTGACCCCCACATAGACTCATCTCTGGAAACAGATACATAGTGGGAGAGCCCACATGCACTCATTCATTCACCAGCGGCAGACCCAGGCCAGTCACCTTGTGTCTGAGCAGACACCAGAGGCCTTGCTTTTTCCAGTCGGCATTCATTCAGTGGCCCCTCTGGTGTCTGTGAAAACCCTGTGGGCTTTCCCTGCTGAAATCTCCTCTTGAAGGGGTTGGAGGAGGGGGACCTGTGGGGATGGGAAGAACAGGATTAGTAAACTGTCAAGTGGACAGTTACTTGGTTGATAGCATTTACAGAGTGAACTAGTTCCCTTACAAGGGCCCTGCAGTCCTGGGGGAAAGGCAGCTGTTCTCAGGGGATTCCTCCCACCCCTTGAGGCTAAAAGCCCGGGAGCAGGGCCCCAGGGGCTGACCAGCACAGAGAGGAGAAAGGGGCAACGTTCCTAAGGCTCTTGGCTCTGGTCACTTTGCTCACTGCTGCAGCCGCTGCAGCTTCAGGCAGAGCCTCTCCAGCCTTCCCCTTGGCTGCTTGCACTTGTGAGACTCACTCAGGGAAGAAACAATGGCCCTCCCTCCCGATCCTCTGCAAGTCTCCCACAGGCAGCAGCCACGGTGACTTTTATATATCTTGATTCAGTTGTGTCGCTCTCCTGCAAGCCCCTTGGTGATTTCACTCTTCTTGGGGACAAAACTGTCTTCTGTAGCCTACAGAGGGTAGCCTTCAGATTTATTATTGTCCACCGGAAACAGGTCACTGTTAGTATTTTCAGTGAGAGCCACAGGCATGAACTGCAGGAGTCCCCAGCAGAGGCTGTTCCCATCTGAAAGGGAGCTACTCAGGGAATTGCTTCCTTCCTCCGCCCTGGCCCTCACCCTCTGTGAGTAAGTTCCTTCCCTGTACCTATCTCTGGTCTTCTCACGTGATCTCCCCTGTGTCTGGAGGGCGCACTCCCTAAACCTCTTAGCTAACTCCCAACCTGTGGGTTTCTGCTTAAATCCCCCCATGAGTGTTTCACTCCCTCACTGGCTCTCTGGCTTTTCCTTTCAACTGCATCATCCCTGAACCCACAGCACCCCGAATGGTGCCTGGCATTTAAGGAGCAATATCACACTCTTCATTGAGGACACAGGCTCTGATACCAGACAGCTTGAATTCAAATCCCAACCCTGCTTCTCGATGGCTATATAGCCTCAGGCCTCTGTTTCTTCCTCTTTAAGTGAGGATGGGGATGACAGTAATAATTCTGACCTTGACAAGTGTTGTGAGAGCCAAGGAATTGCTGTGCATGAATGTGATTGAGACTTCCGTGGATGTCATACAGTGACCACCCCGCTTCCCCCAGATCAGAAGAAGGAATAAATCCCCCACTGGAAAATCATCCAGCCAAAGTCTGCTTTTAGATTGGTTGGGGAATGTGAAAGCAACAAAGTTGCAGGAAGGGACTGATAGCCAGGATAAAGATGTTATGTGTCTGTTCATACACACACACATGCATACCCCCTCTCCAAGGCCCAGCCCCATGGCCCTGCTCTAGCCTTGCCTTATGGAACCTGTCCAGAGGCATCTCATTCTCCTTCCTGTGTCTGTCTTCCTCACACCAGTCCCCACAGGGAATGCTCAGCCTGGGTAGAAAATGCCACCTCCTTTTTCACATTTTCCTTTACTTCTTTTAAACTTTTTTTGTTACAGAATAGTATGCAAATGAGGAGAGACTAACCTAATAATATTATAATGATATAATAAGCACCCATGGGCCTATGATCACCCACAATGAGCATGTGCTGCGCTTGCCGTATCTACCCTCTCTCCTTCCTCTTACTGCTTGCACAGAATAGATCACAGCTGAACCCAATGCCCCGCTTCCTCCTCTACCTCCACCTCCACCTCCCCCTCGACCTCCCCAGAGGTGATGCCGGCACTTATCACTCCCAGGTATTTGTGGAAACTCTTACCACAAACATCCACATTCATTTCAAAGCATAGCATTGTTCTGTGTGTCTTCAGAATCTGCACCCACTGTGCATATCACTCTTCAGTCTGCGTTTTTCATCCAACATTATGTCCTTGAGATTCATGCAGTGTGGGGCCATTATTAGTGCATTTGAGACTACTGCATGGTGTGCTGATCCAGTCTCCCGCTGAATGTTAGGTTTTTCTCATTTTTTTTTCCACAGTTAAAAGCAACACAGCCAAAGGCTAGGACTGTTTCTTGAGGTCCAGATCACATCATCTTCCAGGAGATCCTCTCTAAGTCTCTGTGACCTCTGCCGCTTGTTGGCACGTGCTGCTCTTCCTCTGCCCCTATCTCTCTGCTGCTGCTCCCACATGGTATAGGAGCCCTAGAGATGTCTATATCTGGCTCCAGGAAGGGATTACATGGGCGTATGAATATGCAAAGCTATTAAGTTGTGTCTTTTAGAATGTGCGTACCAGCTCAAACTCCTGGCAGAGCTTAATCCTGGGGAGCTGGCAATAATGAACAAACAGGACAGATGCGGAGCAAAGAAACAGAACATCCCACTCTGCCCCACATAGACTGAGGGCAAAGAGGAGGGTAGAGGCTGCTTTGGGAACGAGAGGGTGGCCTGGAGGCTGCTGAGGAGGGATAGGGGCCAGGAGGCTTGTGAGGGAAGAGGCGCCCTTGAGCGAACGTTCTGAGTTGCAACACTTGGTGGAGGATGTGGCCTTCAAGGGGCCAACCTGCTTTAGCTTGGAGGTGCTTGAATTTGAGCACAGAGGTTGGGGATGAGGATGCTTGCGGGAGGGTGGGGTATCGTCTCCCAGGAAGTAGCAGGAGAAGGGTGGGAGCCAGGGGAGTACCTGTTTAGAAAGAAGCAAAGAGAAGTGGGGAAAGGCAGCTGGGAGAGGAGCGGTGCAGCCGAGGAGCATCGAGGCACAGCTGAGGTGCAGCCAAGGAATAGCTGAGGTGCAGCAGAGCAACAGTGAGGTGCAGCTGAGGACCATTGAGGCACAGCTGAGGTGCAGCTGAGGAATAGCTGAGGTGCGGCCGAGCAACAGTGAGGTGCAGCTGAAGACCATCGAGGCACAGCTGAGGTGCAGCTGCAGAGGTGGAAAACCTTCAGGTCCACGTGAGTGTGCCAGCTGTGACAAGCACCAAACACGGGGGTGCTGGGGAAGAGCAAGCGATGTGTGTCCACAAAAGGCCATGGTTATAGAAATGAAAAGAGCCACACGGCCACTCTCTGGGGGCCACAGTGCCCTCACTCACACCTCCCGTGTTCAGGAGACCCAGCTGCAATGGAGATGTAGCTGGTGAGCAGAATCAGTGTGGGCTAGCAAGAGTGTTAAGGAAAAGTCTGGAATCCCAGAGGAATGCTAGCACGGAGGGCCATAGACTGCTGCCTATCAGCCCCCAACATGCTGGCTGGTCATAGTAGTTATAACCTGAGCACTGGGGAGGCTGAAACAGCCCATTTAGTGAGATCCTGCCCCCCCAAAAAAGAGCGTTATGCTTTTGGTCAAGCCAAATGTTCTGTAAAGGAAGACCAACAATAGGGTGTTCTGAATTGTGAGGCCCCCTAAGGACAGATGCAAGGCACACAAAATCATGAAGGGCCCACATAAGCTATAGATCATCTCATTTACGTCTGCCTTACTTCCCCACGAGGAACAAGCATGGAGGCAGGCAGAGACTACATAACAGGAACCTCAGACATCGCCTGTCTGGTACTACATACAGCCCCAGGGAGCACAGGGAGCTGCTGGTGCCAGGGCCGTGTGTGGACACTTGCAGCCCTTGCCCTGGTGAGTGGCCACAGGCCTGTCTGCCCTCTTGCTCTATCTGTTTCATGCATGACAGCACACTTACAGGACGGGCCTGAGCAGGGCAGTACTTCCTGTTCAGTCTCAGAGGCATTCCAGATCAGACTGGAAAGAATACAGACATACCCTGTGGGAGCTATGGAGAAGAGAACTCTTGACATCCCTGCCCAGGACAGACACATTTCCTCTGGTCCTAAGCAAGCTGGCACAGGGCTGGATGCCATGAAAAAAAAAACTCATAAGAAACTATATAAATGGACGCTGGTCACAAGCATCCTAAACTGTGGTGTGTATGGGCAAGGACAGCCGTCAGACTACTACCTAGGACTTGTCTGGAAAACTTCAAGATGGAAGATGGCCAATGTAAGGGTACCCTGCCGGAAGTGTACTGATTAGAACTTCTGCCCCTGGGGCACACGGTGCATGAGTCTGCTCAGCCCCAGATATCTAGTCTGAGTGTTTGGTAGCCTTTCCTGTATGCCCTGTATGCCCAAGGGAGACAAGGGACAGGGACCCTTGCCCCTCCTGAGCACCCAACTGCAGGAGAGCAGATGTTCTCTTCAGGGAGCCTCCAAGGGCCGTGCCTCTCCTCAGTGCCTTTTTTTGTGTTTGGTTTTGATGTACATGGCAAGTGCCTCTCAATGAGGCCCAGAAGTAGGGTTGCCCTTGAAGCCTGCACATACAGGACCCAGCCTCACCCCTAGCCATTCTGATGACACTGACGGACCCTGGGTTTCCGTTTCCAGCTCTCTGGTTTCTGACCAGGTCACCAAGCATCACTGGCTTCTGCAGCCATTGTATTTTTTGCAGTGATGAGGACTGGACCCAAGCCATGTGTTCCACCACTGAATTACACCTCAAGTCCCATCACTGTCCTCTGAATGTCACCACCCAGGACAGCTTCAGAGGCTCTGACTGAAGTCCACACAGTCCATCCATGCCTCATGACTCTATTCCAGCCATCTGGGAGCCATAACTGGTCCTCTCTTTCATAGCGCTGGCCTGTCTTTATGGTACAGAGAACGTCTCTGACTCTCAGACTTAGTCCGTTGCCTTGCTCCAATGCACCACGCTGTCAGGATTCAATGTGTATCATAGCTGAGGACACTTACCACATAGCACAGTAGAGTAGCCATGTTGGTGGGGTACCTAGGCTTGACAGACCTGGAATGGGCAGTCTATGAGAAAGCGGGTCCCGAGATGATGCCCAGGCAGGAGAATGGAGAAATAAACCATTTGTTCATAGACTAGACTACTATACAGCAAGGAAAAATAACAAGTGAATTTTATGGACTTTCTGCTGAGTGGAGTAAGCCAGCTTGGGAGCATAAAGTGTGTTTACCATATGATTCTACTATGTGTACGACATTCAAAAATCGGCAAAATCTAATCAATGATAAAAATGAAAACAGTGGTTACCTTTGTGCGCGTGAGAGAGTGGAGACAGTGAGTGCCAGCTGGAAGCAAGTGCTAGAACTTTCCGTGATGCTCGGGGACAGATGCAAGTGTTGTCATCATGGTATACACTTAAGGCATACACACTTACGTTAGTGTTTGCAAATCCAAAAACCTGCTCTGTATCTGTAAGCTCCTACCTTCCACAGAGCAGGCGCTCGGCGGACTTGTGCAGGGCAGGGAAGTGGAGAAACCCATGTATTTGCATATCCTGATGCTGTGGGTCTGGGTGGCACAGAACAGCCCGGTGTTTTGCTTCAGTCCAGTCTATTTTATCAGAGTATTACGGCATTTTATAATAAAATCTTAACTGTGCACACACTATTATTAACTTAGGAACAATGCTGCACAGCCGGTCCCTAGCACTTGATGATCATACCAGATGGAAGTTTCAACAGCTCCTGTTCAGAAACTGAGGGCCCCAAAGAGACGTCTGTTCTCCGGCATGGTTTCTAGGCATCTGTGCTGTTGTGTGGTACCTTACAGGTTTTGTGCTTGGTCACAAACTGTCTCCCTTTGACAAGCCTTCAGGATCCGAGTGTGTTCTTGCTCTCAGTCTACTGAGAGTTTCGGGCTCAGCTTGTACTTTCCAGCCCCAGGCCTGGCATTCGCAATTTCTCTTTTATTGGGAAATGACAATTAAGATACCACAATGTGAGCTCTCAGCTGCTGACTGACGCCGCTATCATAGCTGCCGTCAGTTCTGGCTCGGGTTCAGGACAGAGCTAAGAAATACAATACCTTTAGAAAACCCCAAAACACTAACGATGCCTGAGTATTAGGGTCACAAGCTATCTCCTCCATTTCCATCCCTAGTCTAGCCATCCATGTGGCACCATTGTACTGAGGCTGGCCTATGATGGTACCTCATCCTCCAGGCTAGACTGACGTTCCCTCTCCTCTGTCCTCTTAGAGCCATGCTTGAGTCCCTGTGCCCACCTGCATCCCCCACCCCTGCATCCTCAGTGGATCTGTGTCTTGAGTCCATCTGCTCGGTCCTCCCTCTTTGGCTCCCATTATGGTGAGCTCAGCCTCAGTGTGGCTCTCACCTCCCTGTCTCCGATTTTGCCTGCCATGCCTGAGAGGCAGCCAATCCCACGACTTAGCCCTTCATTTGCTCTGAGCACTTTTAACTCCCTCTCACCCCTCACTGCTGGGAGTCTCAAATCCAGAATTGGGCCCACCGTTCTCCCATGTGGTACAGCCGTGTGCTGATGAATACATTCTCATTGGCTCTGGGATGGGACTGATTTGTAGTATCAGCCCATTCCTGTGGTATAAGTATTCTCAACGTAATCAATGTCAAGTTATGAAAAACACAACCACCCAGTTCACTAAATTCCTGAGAATGCAGTCAGCTCTCAAGAGCCAGTACAAACTACTTAGCTGAGCGTGCCAAAGAGGTATCAACCTCTACGTAGTCAGCCCTCTGCCCAGGGACAGCCTCCGGGTGTTCTTGGGAGCCCTTGCAGGTTCCCTTCAGCTCTAATTATCCGAAGTTCTTTCCTTCCTAAGGGAGCTGCTTCTGTCAGCTCTCCATACCTTCCATCACCTTTCCTATACACAGCACACGGTTCTGTCTAGAGCTGTGGTAACAAGTGTCCCGTCCCACCCCACCCCCCACCCCGCTCAGCAGGATGGCCTCCTTTGCCCTCATCCTTACCCTACCATCTCCTTGGTAGCTTTCCTCCGTTATAGCTACTTGTAAAAACGTCCCTTGTCACTTACTTCTTAAAGACTATTCTGATATTGGCCCTCCTCTTCCAGCCAGCAGTGCCTGGCCCCACTCAGGGTAGCTCTTGCCGTCCTAGCCCCTCCCACTTTGGCGCTGTCGCCAATGGCAACCCCATAGTCACTCTCTAGGGTACTTTGGAGCCCTTTCATCCTCTCCTGTTATGTCAGCCTTCCCTCCTGGACTCTCGCCATCCCTCAGGTCTTACCCTGCATGCACACTTCTCTGGTGGTACCCTCAGCCTCCTTAGGGGGCCCTTCCCCCCCCCCCCGATCCCCGTTTAATTTCAGGTCCATATTCCAGACCCTCAAACCGTATTAATTTCCTATCTTGCTGTAACAAATGACCATTGATTTAGTGGCTTACAACAATGAATCATCTTCTGGGGATGAAGGTCATAAGTCCTCAAATCAGGTCCTGGCTAGCTGTCTCCCTAGGGGATCTAGGGGAAAGATGTTCCCTGACCTTCCGCAGTCCCTGAGAGACAGCTCTGGTCCCTCCTCCGTGCAGAAGTGTCCACCATCACATCACCATCTGACTCTCACCCTCTGCTTGGGCCCTTGTGAGACTACCTTGTGCCGATCCGGCTTACTTGCATTAGCCATGGAAGGTCTGGACAGCCCAGGGGCCCTTATTCCATCTGCTGCACTCCCACACCCTGACGTACCAGCTTCCCTTCCTGGGCTCCCCTTTCCACTCCCCTGACTCTGCTACTTACCATCTTCCCACACGGCAAGAGGCATCTCTGCATCCTCTGGTGCTCGCAGCCTGAGCTTTATCCTCAGTCCTTCTTCCACACCCCAGCCAGCCACTCTGCCCACTGAGCATCTCTCTCTTCAGCCTGTCTCATTTTCCCATTCCCACTGCCCTGCCTAAGCAAATCAGCCGATGAATGTCACAGGTCCCCTGTGCTGGCCACCATCACCTTCCTAGCAGGAGCTGGCCGCTGACCATCCTAACAGGGCCACGATGCCAATGCTATCAGCTATGAGAGAAAATTGACACAGAGAGGCTGAGTAACATGATCCAAGTTCCCACCTCACTTGGTGTAAGGTCTGACATTGGAACCCAGGCACTTTGGCCCCCAGCATCCTTGTTATTGCTTGCCTGGATGAAAGACTGGACTGGGCTAGGGTAAGATGTCAGTCGGGAACCATATTTTCGGTTTTAAATATCACCCAGACCCTCGGTCCCTACACAGATCTCCCAGGCTCTTTGTCAGATGTCCTTCTGCACTGACTGCTCATCATGAGGAAGGCCTGAGCATGTCATAGGTCATGGCTTCTTCCTGAGTGGCCTGGGCTCTGCCAGACAAAAGCTGAGAGCCCATGGTCCCTGAGCTAAGCCCTGGGCAAGTGGAAGATTTGCCTTCCTCACTCTGATGACCCAGAACAGACGTTGGCCCTGTGATTGGACGGCGTCCAGGCTGCTCAGCACGGGGACTCCCATCCATGGTGCCCACTGCCAGGGGGAGCCTTCTGTCCTGGGCAGAAGCTTCTATCCTGCACAGCCCCAGGAGCACTGTCAGCACAGTCCAGAGGGGCTCCTGCTTGGAGTAAGTCTAGTTTGGCTAAGCGCAGGAGCCACTGGACAGATGTGCAGCCCCAGCCACCCGACTGTCCGAGGCCACAGATTGGAGCAGGGCAGATCATTAAGGAAGTGTTACAGAGGGGGAAAGGGAGGGAAGAGAGTGGGAATGTGGGGAGATAGGAAGAAGGATAAAAAAGAGTTGATGATATGATAGGACCCGGGGCAGAGCTAGAGGGATCCAGAGAAGGAGAGCCTGGAGTTCATATCCATAACATACTCTGAGAGCTGCCCTGCCGTTCCATGTCCCTCAACCCATAATGGAGGCCAAGGTTCTCTGCCAGCTTCAGGGAGCCCAACAGTCCTGAGGCCGGCAATCCTGGGGCCCAGAAGAACATCGGACCCATTCCTGATGTATCTCAAGCAAGAAGACTCTGCCAGTGGCCCTTCCCCAAGGAAACTGGCAATGCCCCCAATATGCCCTGCCATGTCCTCTTAATCTATATGGAGTCCAGAGCTTACCCAGGTCACGTCTTCCTGACAGCCCTCCCATGATTCTTTCCAATTCAAAGTAGCCTTGTTTCTTCTCATGCTCCCCTCACTCACTCTCCTCTTCAGCTCTCTGAACTCCCTGGCTTCTTCTCCAAAGTATCAGGGATTCTTGCTGCTTCCGGACCTTTGCTCACGCTCTTGCTTCCACCCAGAATCTATTTCCCAAGACACACACACACACACACACACACACCACGGTTCTCCTTATAGGTCCTCAGTTCAAGTACTGTATCAGAGAGGTTTTCTGGCTGTGCAAGGGACAGAGGTCCAGAGTCCCCTGGGGAGGAGGGACAATGAACACCAGTGTAAGAGCCACTAAATGGCCAGCTGGAGAGCTGGGACATAGGGGTTATCAGGGGTTTGCATTCCTTCTCTCCCGACCCTGCTGGTGGGAGGAGGCATGAGGACCAGAAGATGGCGGAATTTTAGCTCCTAGTATCTCTCTCGGCCACAGGAATAGCATGCTATCGACAGAGGTCACTAGTGGGGGAAGGGCAAAAGGCAGGGGGTGGGGGACACAGTCTGATACTTCATGGCCAGCTACAACTTCTGCTCGGGGCTGGCTGTGAATTCTGACAGCCTGCCAAGGACATGCTCCTTTCTGGGGATGCCAGAAGAGACTGTTAATCACAGAGCCTGCCTCTCGGCCTCAGAGCTGTCCATCCTCCTCAGGGCTTGGCCTATTTGCTCCTGTCCCTCTCTCAGCTCCTCCTTAGCCTGCCCTTCTGCTCCTTGGGAAATAACACTGGCTGGGATAAACCAGGCTGCAAAGAGGCCACCACCCCCCAGCCCCCCCCCAACCCCCACCTTCTCTTCCCCAATGTGTGCCCAGCTGGGCCAGCCAGCAGGGTTTACCTGCTGACCAGGCCCCTTTCTGGCCAGCAGTGGCCACATTGCAGGACACTAAGCTAGACCTCTTACACCACATCAGTGTTAGTCAGCATTGCCATCTCCGTGAGGAATCCTGAGACAGCTCAGTGAAAAAGAGAAAGCTTTCTTTTGGGTCACTGTTTGGAAGGCTGCAGTCTGTGATTGGCTGGCCCATTGTTTGGGGCATGTGGCGAGGCAGCATGTCAGGGAAGCAGTGAGTAGCTGGGAAACAGAAGAGGAGCCACACTCCCAGTGACCTGAAATCCTCTAGCTAGTCCCCCACTTCTTAGCCGTTCCACCACCTCCCAGTAGCTGCGTGGACGGGGGAGCACGCCTTCAACACATGGGCCTTCCGGGGAACTAACAACCCTCTTGCAGGACTTCCGGAAGGCAAGTGGGTACAACCGAGCCAAATGGATGGAAACTGAGCGGAGGTGAGAGGTGAGGAACGAGAGGGAGGCCCGAGGAGGAGGACCTGCTTGGGGCTAAACGTGAACTCGGAGGAAGGCAAGACAAAGGTCGCTCTACGTCTCCCTGTGTTAGCGGAGCTGTAGCGTGTTCTTAGAGCTGTGGATGCCGCTGAGAAGGGTCAGAGGAAAGGAGAGAAACCATTTTAAAGAAAAAGCCTCCCTGAAGCTGTGTGCAGATTGGAGGGGACAGGTGGAGGCTGGAGGCTGTCGGGGATGCTGCAGCCGTCTAAGCAAAATGAGATGAAGAGAGGCACCAGGCTCCAGGAGCCAGGTGGAGGGCCCACCTGCTAGAAGGGGAGCCAGGCATGGTTAGATGTGTGGGATAGACTCCTTCAGCGGGGCCAAGCAGAGGAGACAGAAGTCACGTCCTGGAGTCACCGGCCCAGGGTGGAAGGGGATGAGGGATAGAGAAGCTGAATTGTGACTCCAGCAGGATTGGAGAAGGCAGTCAGCACTGGAACACAATAGTGCTAGGTGACAAGTAAGCAGAGTGGAGACATCCAGTTAGGTGTAGAGTCTGGGCGGCCTTGCTGCAGAGGCGGTGGAAGAAGAGTCTGGGGGAAAGCTGAGGTCCGTGTGGGTGAGGGTGTGGGTGAGGGTGTGGGTGAGGGTGTGGGTGAGGGTGTGGGTGAGGGTGTGGGTGAGGGTGTGGGTGAGGAGCAACAAGGGAGACAGTGACCGCAGCCGCCACCGCCACAGAGTGGGGGAGGGGAGGGGCAGGTGGAGTTATGCACATTACACCCCCCACTCCCACCCCATCCCCATTACCTTAGGGAAACAGAGGGGCTGCTGGAGGGTTTTAAGCAGGGGACTAACAAGATCAGTTAACCTTTTTTCAAAAGTTGTTTGAAGGGCTGAGACTGCTCAGCAGATAAAGTGCTTAACAAGCAAGCGCAGGGACCGAATTTGGATCCCCAGCACCTGTGTAGAGGGTTGGACACACAGGGGTGTGAGCATGAAGCCCCAGAGCTGGGGAGACAGAGATGGGAGGGAAGGGGGACGTTAGGACAGTCGGGCTGGGGGAAAGAAAGAGCCGGAGCCTCGGACAGAACCAAGGTCAGAGCCTCACGCGTGTTCAGGCTTTGATCCTGTGGCTCCCAGGTTAGGTTCTGGCTGGATGAGGAATGTGGATATGGGAGGGTGGTGAAGGAAGAGGCTGGGGTGCTGGCAGCGTGAGTGCCCGCTAAGCAGGGAAGGATGCAGATGCTAGGAACAATCTAAGGAGCTGGCAAATGGTTACACTCCCGATAAGGAAAAAGAGAGGGAGGATGTGAGAGGCTGCAGTGAGCAGTGTACAGCGCCTGTGACTCAAGAGTAGACTAGCTCCGGCTTGTGCTTGCCAAGGACCCCCAGCTGCTGTGTGGACATACCGCTGGGGCAGGCGCTGCCGTTAGACAGGGGTGGTAGTCTGGGCCACAGTCACAAGGAAGCAGGGCAAAGCTTCAGGACTCAACAGTTGATGACAGGTGTCGTGTGGGGTGCCATAGGGGAGAGTCTATGGGTGTATCAGTACCCACTGCATTTCAAAGTGAGTATGATGTGTTGGGGAGGCGGGGTGAAGGGCTTTGTGGCTCACCTGCTACTGGGGTCCTCATCTGGGACCGTAACAGGAAATATCTCCCAAGACCTGCTGCTCCTGGAATCTGCAACCTGCAGCACAGATGCCTGGATTTTCTAAGCACACGGTGGTCAGAAAGAGAGTAGGGACCAGTCATGGTGGAGGCTGAGGGATCATCCATCTCCCTCGGACCTTCAGTTTGCACAGGCCCACTCCTGAGTGCCTGCCTGCATCGCTTACCCGGGGGTTTCTGCAGCACATTCATCCTTGTGGTCCATCCAAAAAGTAGGCAGAAAGTGAGAAAAGTTATAGCTGAAGAAAGCAGCTGAAGATTGATGGAAACGAGTGGTAGATACCCACATCCCTCCGCACTGGTGGGGAAACCCGGAGAACCCCTTTGGGGTTAAGCCTCAGTTTCCCATATTAGCAACTGACTTACTGGCATCCTTCCCCCTGTGTTAGCACCTACACAAGGTGTTCCCCTCCCAGGCTAAAGATTTGCACTTGCACCCTGTCCCAGAGCTTGCTTCTGGGGGAACTCGAAGTCAGACCTCAAGGGAAGCTGAAGGCAACTGGTGGGGCTGGAAGGCTGCCTTTGAATCCCAGCCCCTCCGTGTGTGTGAGGAATTCCCCGTTCCAGGAAGACTCTGGACAAGTCAGTCGTGCATAAATTAAAGAATCAGTGTTTGTAGTAAGATTGGGGCAGTACTAAAACAAGTCACAAATCTGAAGAAAAACCAGGCTGGCAACAACCGCTGGAAAGCATAGTCCACTGGTGCGTCATCGACAGCGAAACAGGAAAGACTATGTAGTCTGAGTCGGAATGTTATTTCCAGCATTTGGCCTGACTTTGCAGCCATTGAGGGATGCTATTCTTGAGGGCTATCTTCCTGCAGGGTAAGGTCATTCTGGCATTTTCCAGAATAACACCTCTCCCAGGGGAAACCGACTTTACAAGCCCCCAGTACCCACAAACCCACTGTGTTCAGTTACTGTTTCTGACCACTCTCTAGATATAGATGGCAGGTTCCCTTCCCAGGGCTGATGCCCTCTCTGAAAAGCCACAGGAAGCAGGGGGGCGGGGGTGGTGGTGGTGGTGGTGGTGGTGGTGGTGGTGGTGGTGGTGGTGGTGGTAAGAAGATCTCAGGGGTGGGTGAGTGGATGGGTTGGTTAGTTGATTTGCTTCCTGTCCTGGGGATTGAACCCAGGGGCTCTCAAGTGTTGCAGGAGTTGTCTAGCACTGATCTATACTCCCAGCCCAACACGTTTGGATTAAAATTCTGCTAAGCATTGAGATCTGAAATTTATGAATCTACATGACATTCCATCCAGAGGAGCATTACTGTCTCCAGTTCACAGAAAAAGAGAGACTTTCAGTGGCCGGCGACGACATGAGCAAGATGTAAAAGGCTGAGCTGTGTGGTGCCCCCGCCTCCTCCTGCCATCTCTTAGCATCAGGAACTGGTTTCTCCACATGGATAGTAGGTGATATGCAAGGCGGTTAATGAGTGGGGCATAGTGCCTCTGTCCCTGGGGAGGGTGGCACACTGCCCGTATTTGGAGGAATCAAAGACAGAGAAAAAATACCACAGTTTGTCAAGGATTGTCACTCCTGACATTCCGTGTCAAGGATGAAGCACCTGGCCCCAACTTCTGCCCAGGGCAAGGCAGGTGAGGAAGTGGCCTCTGTACGGTCCCTTTACGCTCAACCCCTTTCCCTTGGGAGTGGCTTCCTTAGGGTCCGTGCTGAGGATCCTAAGAGAAAGGTTTGTGGGAAACAGGTTCTCAGCACCCATCCCCATCTGCCTGGTGTTCTGTTCTCCCACCCAAAGCCATGCCAGAAGCTTTTCATCACCACTCACCCTGCGACAGCACCACATCCCTGTAGTTTTCCAGGCATGGGTAGTGCACTCTTGGAGCTTAATTCTGAGTTGTATCTCTCACTCGCTTAAAATACCCATGGTTCCTAACAACCCTTAGAGTGAAAGCTGAGCCTTCATTCAAGGCCCTCCATTATGGAGCCTAGATGAGGTGTCAGAGTTCATTCTACAGCCGCTGGCTTCATGCCTGTCCTGTCCCGGCTGAGTCTGGGATGGTTGGGAGGTGTCCCTGGGCCTGCACTGAGCCCTGAGCTTCAGTGGTAATCACACTGTCACCTAGATCCAGCACCACTTTCTCACTCCTCCACAGTACCCAGCAATGGGCAAACTTTGGTCACCCCTTAATTCCAGGCTTCTTTCTCTTTGTGCTTAGACAGTGGGAACACTACAGAGACAGAGTGCCATAAAACACCGTACAAAAGATGGCAAATCAACTCATTTTGTTAAAAAAAAAAAATAGTCGTCAAAATATTTTCATGGAACTTATAGCAGAATTGTGTTTCCATATCAACGCCTTCAAGAACAGGACGTGCTGGTGTCTTCTAGAAGGTGCCCTTTGCGGAGAAGGGGACCATGAAGAGACCTCCACACAGACCCCAGTAACTGAGCTCCATAGCGAAGACTGGAGATGGAGAAACTGAGGCTGCGTGTGGTTTGGTTTCACTCTGGTCAGGATTTGTTGCCGTGCCCAAATAACGATCAAGTCGGACTCAGAAAACAGGAAGATGACTCCTTTTTCGCCATCTATATTCACAGAGAAAGGCCCCCTTGTGCGCTCCTGCCGGTGACTCAGCTTCTGAGGTAGGCAGCTGTCAACCTCCCCGCTACCCACATCCGTTAACTACCCGCCTCTCTGTCCCCTGCAGGCTCTCTGTTCCCGCAGCTGAAGCCATCAGAGGGCGTCTTCAAGGTCATCTTCTGGCTGGGCTACTTCAACAGCTGTGTGAACCCGCTCATCTACCCCTGCTCCAGTCGCGAGTTCAAGCGCGCCTTCCTCCGCCTCCTGCGCTGCCAGTGCCGCCGCCGCCGCCGCCGCCTCTGGCGCGTCTACGGCCACCACTGGCGAGCCTCGACAGGAGACCAGCGCCCTGACTGTGCCCCCAGCCTGCGCGTCGCACCCCCGGGAGCCCCCCTGGCCCTCACTGCACACCCGGGCCCGGGCCCCGCAGGCACGAACGAGCCGCCGGCTCCGGTCTCCGGCCGTCGGAAGCCAGCCTCCGCCCTCCGGGAGTGGAAACTGCTCGGGCCGCTGCAGAGACCCACGACCCAGCTGCGCGCGAAGGTGTCCAGCCTGTCCCACAAGATCCGCTCCGGGGGCGCGCGGCGCGCGGAGACTGCGTGCGCCCTGCGGTCGGAGGTAGAGGCGGTGTCTCTAAGCGTCCCCCACGACGGGGCCGAGGCGGTCATCTGCCCTGCCTGTGAGCCAGCCGACTACAGCAATCTCCGGGAGACTGACATTTAAGGACCGAGACCAACCCAGGTTGGGGGATGTGCTGGAGCCAGGGATGGGGTGCATTGCGGGATGCTGCCTCCGGATCCAGGGCTCTGACCACACGGGGGCTCCATCCCCAGAGCAACAGGAACTGGACCTGGGGTCGGAGCCCTTCCAAGGTGGTGAGTTATGGCGCCCCCTGCTGGACGTAGGTGTTCAGAGCTCTTCCTGGAAGGGAAAGACTGCAGGATTCACCCTTCTCATCCAGTCTGAAAACTGCTTAGTCAGCTGGTCCTGAAGTCTGGGCCACACCCCTTGGGGAGGAAGAGGTACCGATTCTTGCTTTGCTGCCCCCAGGAAAAAGATCAGTGGACAGTTGGTACTCCTACGGCCACCCGGAGGAAGTCAGTGGACCTACCATAGGAACCGCATACTGCAAGCTTTGGTGGCATATTGGATGATGCCCGCCATACAAATCTGTTGTTTTTCGCCCTAGGCCCACTGCCCCCTCCCCACATTCCTAACCTGTATGTACCCTTCACCTGGCCCAGCCCTCACTATTACCCCCCCCCCAGGGGCCTTACTGTTTACACTCTGTACATAATTCATTGTGCCTGTCTGTGCCCATCACTTCTCACTGGGATTCCAGGCTGCCGACAGGGGAGAGCCTTATTTATCATTTTGAAGCCTATTTATTGGTAAGAGTACTTATATTTTGTTCAGACTGTGAAAACTG